ATTGTTTTTATTCTGTACCATATCAGGTGGCTTTTCTGACATGAGACAGAGATTTTGGATTTTAATTTAATAAACACATGTGGGTTTATAGATGAAAAGAGCTACACCCCCAACTCCAAAAGCAGCTTTAATTTTTAATTAGATTGACTACAAAAAGGCCATTTGCATTATATGTCTGTAGAGAATAGCAGAAACAAACATTTGGGAATATTTATGGAATTTTATCTTGTTGGAAATGTGATATACCATTAGGCCAGTTTTTTCTTGGGACAGTTTTCTGGATGATTTGTCTTTTTTCTTCAGCTGGTCCTCAGATTTGTCCAGTGGTCTTCAGATTCCTTAGCCGGCTTCCTTTATTCTCCTGAAAAGACAGAAACAGAATCCTTCCCTAGCCCTAATTTTGGGGCGATTCTCTTTTGGCAAGTTATATCTGATCAAATGAAAAGCATTGGTTGGTTTTATAGGTTAGTTTAGATTAAACACCATACTGTTTGGTGAACTATCATCTCTTCTAATTAAGAGGTGTCTCTTGTTTAAATCAAATCTTTATCATTTTATGGTAGTCATAACTTTTCTTCTTCTGTGGAAACAAAAGCAAAACCTTTTCCTCAACATAACACTTCTCCTGGTTTCCATTCTGAGGTTAGTACAACTTTAAAGTATATTGCTAGATTTAATTTTGTAGTTTTTTTCTGCTATCCAATGTTTCTCCATAGCTGTTGTATCTTTCTCATTAGCATTAAAAAAAATTCAAAGTTAACAAAGTATTATGCAGTCCGTTTCTGCGGGGTCTATGTCATTTTGTTCTTTTTGCTTAGCATATCTTTTCAAGGTCAGTGTGATTTTCCTATAACTGCCTGGCCTGTAGAATTGTGCGGTATACCTGTTATATAATATTTATATTATTATTATAAGTAAAAAGCTGTTTAATATATTTAGAGACATAATGCTGGACCACTGTCCGTCTTTATTTGTACAGGTATACCCATGATGACCATAACTTCCAGGAAATGTAATTACTGAATCAGCTTTTTCCAAACTCAAAGCAGTTGCCCATTGAAAACCTGCATAAATATCAATGGTGGTGTACATATTTTAGTTTTCTAAATGCTACAAAATGGAACACACCCATCTGCCAGATTTCATTCCTTTGAGTACCCTGAAGGAAGTGGTGTTTGGTTGTGTAAAGAACAAGTAGAACATTACCTTATAATTTCCTTGGCTTGTTGCCACGTGAAGAAAAAAATCATTTTTAAACTTTTGCTGTTGACACAAAGTCTTTTTTTTTAATCAAATTCTGAGGCCTTCAGCACATTTTTGATCAATAATTGATCATTTTCTGTATTACCTTGTGCTAGAGGACCTGGCAGACCTGTATGGGATCAGATGTGTGTTATGTATATGGGATGATTCCTATTCCTGATTGTATCTTGTAACTGAATAAATAATATAATTAATTCAGTATTATTTGGCATAAATTGAGCCGTTTCAATATACAAACCAACTCTATATACTGTGAATCAGTAATTATGTTGAGAGATTCTTTAAAATCTCTTAGTACTATGAGAATAGCATATAATTCTGACTCTTGGACAGAATCATAAGGACTTTGAACCACTTTACTTAAATTTTCTGATTTGTAACCTTCCTTTTCATATTTATTTGCATCAGTATGGAAAATAGGGGCTCTAATGCTAGGAAGGATCCAGTTAGTTCTCTGTATAAGTTGAATTCTCTTGCTTTTGGGATAGTTGTTGTTAATCTCTTCCAACAAATTACTATAAGCTCTTTGCCAGGGTTCACTTTCTTCCCATAATTTGTCAATTTCATCATTATTAAAAGGTACTATAATTTCTGCTGAGTCTATACCTGCTAATTGACGAAGTTTCAGTTTTCATTTTAGAATTAACTCAGAGACTTTTTCCACATAAGTTTTTAATTTTTTTACTCGGTTTAGAATGGTGGTAAAAGAACCATTCTAAGAAAATATATTCTCTCTGTATTAAAATTCCTGTGAGAGAATGTTTGGAGGGTAATATGATCAGAATGCAGTTAAGATTTGGATCTACATAATCAATCCATATGTGTCTTCTGTAATTTCTCTTCAACCAGAGCCTATTCTGTCATCTTCATCTGATAATTTTCTGGGACTATTTAAGTCCATGTTACCATAAGGCTTTGTTTAAGTTAATCAGTTCATCAGGTTTTACCCCAGTAATGCACCATAGATGGGAAAGGTCTGCTAGTAATTTTTTTTTTGTGCTGTTTTTTTTTTTTTTATTTATTTATTATGTATACATTATTCTGTCTGCTTGTTTGCCTGCAGGCCAGAAGAGGGCACCAGACCTCATTACAGATGGTTGTGAGCCACCATGTGGTTGCTGGGAATTGAACTCAGGACCTTTGGAAGAGCAGGCAATGCTCTTAACCTCTGAGCCATCTCTCCAGCCCCTGCTAGTAATTTTTGAAAGTCATTAAGAGTCTGCAGTCAGTCCCTTCTAATTTGTGCCTTTTGTTGTCTGTCTGTAAACCTATTTTATAGCCTAAATAATAGAATCTCCTTTGTATTTTTGGGATAAACTTGTAATTCCCAGCAAGGCAAAATTTTCTTTACTTCTTCAAACATTCTTTCTAAAGCAACTACATTTGAATCAGATAGTAAAATGCCATCCATGAATGGTAAACTACAGATTCAGGAAATTGCTTAAGTATTATTTCCAGTTGCTAACTTTTGAAATATTGGTACGGGGTGGGCTATTTAACTTTCCACGTGGGAGAACCTATTGATACCTCTTAGCAGGCTGAGAATTATTATAAGTAGGCACTGGGAAGGCAAATTTTTCTCTTTTTCTTGTAAAGGTATAGTGAAGAAACAATCTTTTAAATCAGTAGCTATAAGTGACCATCCTTTAGGCAATAGAGAAGGCAGAGGAATGGCAGACTGTAGAGAGCCCATTGGCTGAATCACATTATTAACAGCTCTTAGATTTGTTACCATTCTCCCTTTTCCAGATTTCTTTCTAACAGCAAATGCCGGAGAATTCTAAGGGCTGGTTGATTCTTCAGTATGCTGAGCATCTAGTTGCTCCTGTACCAGCTGTAATAAAGCCTGTATTTTCTCTCTTGTTAAAGGCCATTGTGCAACCCATGCAGGTTTGTGTTTCAGTCATTTTAAAGGTAGGGCTGTTGGTGTCTTTGGAAGATCAGTAGCTGTGGTACCTTGTTCTTTATAATAGCTTGTTGTATTTTTCCCAGAAACATATGCTAATTTATGGTTTGTCTCTAAATTTAAGGGAATGTTAATCTGAGTATTCCATTGCTGTAACAAATCATGTTCCCACAAATTCGTTGCTGTGTTAGCCACATATTGTTTTGATACTCTTTACTGTCGTCCTGACCCTATTCATTTGACTGATCTCATGCTCTGCTTTACCTGAAGTATAGTTCCAGTTCCTAAAAACACTTTAATCTATTCTATCCAGTCTTTAGGGCTAATTCTATTACAGACTGACCACAAGTTTAACATTTGCTTCACAAAAGGTGAATGCATTCCATATGAGACTTGCTTCTTTGAATCTTCTTAACTCTAACTTTGGCACAGGAGTCCATTCAGCTCTTACTCTGTCATTAGGCAGTTCCTATAAGGTTACTGGATTATTAACGTTGGTTGTTTGAAAACCTTAGACTGTTTCTCTCTATTCTTATAATGCAACACTGAAATTGGTTTTCTGTTAAATTCCTTTGTTTGTATTTGAATGTCTCTGTGATCTGTTTTATTAAATTTTTCTTAGGCCCGCCTCTTTGTACTCAGATTAACCAACTTTTTTAGTGATACAGCATAAATGTTGAAACTGATAATGTTTACAATTGACATTACTTAAGTCCCATCTAAGTTATCCTCTCAATTAATTCTTCCATTTTCAAACTGCCTAGCATATTCTCATACAGAGACCCAAATTTCTCCATTGTAATGGTTTTTCACATTCTTTTCTATCCTTAAAAAAATATCTTTCCATCTCAGAATTGGATTTGAGTTATTTGTGAATTTATGCTTCAAGATACTTCTAAGATGGTTCAGTGGTTAAGAGCACTGGCTGCTTCGGAGGTCCTGGATTGAAGTCTCAGTACCCATCCCCATGGCAGCTCACAGCTATCTGTAACTTCTGTTCCAGGGGGTCTGACATCCTGTTCTGGCCTCTTCAGGCACAGCAGGCATGTGGTGCACAGATAAACATGCAGGCAAAACACTCATACACATAAAAAGTAAAAAGATACTTCTGGGTAGTTTAAAATATACCTTATTTGGTAAAGCTCTTAAAAGGGAATGAAGACACACTTTCCTTAGAAAATGGTGGGGGAAGCCAAGTGACGCAGGTTCCATTATTTTAGTAATTCTAATGCAGGAGCTAGCAGTGTTATTCTCTGGGAAAAGATGTTATCATAACTGGGAAAGTTTCCTTCATTGCAGCATTCCCGTCTTCCTACCCCAGACAACACCCTCAGCTGGTCCAGTGCATTCCTCCCTTCAGTAGAAAACTGCTGAGACAGTCCATCAGGCTTCCCCAAGGTTCTCTGATCACAGACTCTGCTAGCTTTTTAAAAGTTAGGCATGTTAGGAATCTTAGACCAGATTGTAAACTTCAGAATTAAGTGGTAAGGCTTTGTTCTGCTAGCATCAAGTTTTAGTTTTGGAAATCTCTCTGACTTTTGTAATGCTCTTATCTTCTGGCTCTCCTAATTTTTTTAAAATCCTGATTTTAGAGTTTAACTTCTAGTAGCTTCAGACTCTGAAAAAGTTTATACTTGCCCAAGAGAATGGGATAACAAAAAGTTAAATTATTAGGTGTTTTGTCTAGAAGCATTTTAAACATAGTGCTAATTTATTTAATTTTTAGTTGTCTATATTAAAATAGTTTCTAAAACTTCTTTTAATTCTAAAGTATATATTTGTACGTATATATGTATTTTTTATAATCAAAATTTCTATATTTTAAATCCAGAAATTTCAAGATATTGAAGAAACTCATCTCATTCACATAAAGGAAATTATAGGATCCTTGTCAAATGCTATAAAGGAAATTCATTTACAGATAGGCCAGGTAAATTTTTTGTTTTATGTTGAAGTGGTTTATGAAATTTTTATGTTCATTTATAGCTCTTTATTAAGTCTTTTATTAAGTTGTTTATCAAGTCTTTCATCACATTATTTGGAAATCATACATATGATAATTATTTCAGATGAAGAACATGTATTTATATGTATTTTATTGATCACCAAGCATGATAATTTATTATTGTTGTTATTATTATTATTTGCTTTTTGAGACAGGGTTTCTTTGTGTAACCTCAGCTATCCTTGAGCTTACTCTGTGGAACAGGCTGGCCTTGAACTCATAGATACTTTTCTGCTTCTGCATCCCAAGTTCAGGGATTAAAAGCATACACCACCAGTGCCTGGCTGAAATTTATTTTTTTTTAAAGTTTACTTTTGATGTTTTTAAAATTATGTGTGGGTATGTATATATGACAGAAGGTGCTTGAAGGTCAGAATTGCCATCTTGCCCTAGAAGTGGAGCTACTGGTGTCTGTGAGCCTCTTCAGTGGGTAGTGGGGATTGAATTTGGGTCCTCTGGACAAACAGCCACTAAACCATCTCTCCAGCCCCAATTTAAATTGTTTTATAGTAAGTAAGTTGTATAATTATATAGTTACTATATAACTGTACTTATTAGTATTACTATGTAATTAACCATATACTTAATATATATTAAACAACTGGTTATTTTAAATAGTTATATACTTCTAAGAATTAACTAGTACTCTTCATACAAATTGGATGTTACCAACTTCTGATTATTTTTCTTTTCAAGTTTTACTATTTTAAGTTTAAAGCAGCAACTTCAGTAATTAGAAAATATACATGTGAAAAAGTGTTCAGTGATAATCTGGGGTGTATTGAAGTAAGGAGAGAAAGGAAAAGTCTTCCTTTGCTACTTAAAATGCAAACATTAGATTAGGTAGACAGTGGTGACCCACACCTTTAATCCCAGCAGGTGCAGGCAGATCTCTCTGTTCAAGGCCAGCCTGGTCTACAAAGAAAGTTCCAGGGTAGCTGAGACTTGCAGAGAAACCCTGTCTTGAAAAATTATAAAAAGGAAGAAAAAAAAAGAATTCTGTCTCTAAAATAATCAAAGTAGCAATTATAAATTGCCTATAAAGTAATATCTTAGTGGAGAAGGTAGGCAGATGGTCTCTAGAAATCTGCCAACATAGGAAACAACATGGGAGATTTAAAAAAAAAAAAAATCTGGTGTAACTTGTTTTGTTTTGTTTTTGGAGACAGAGTTCCTCTTTGTAATAGTCCTAACTGTCTGGAACTCTCTAGGCTGTCCTCGAACTCACAGAGTTCTTCCTGCCTTTGCCACCTGAGTGCTGGGATTAAAGGCGTGCGCCCAGCTTTGTGTAACTTTTTAAATTGCTTTGTAAAGCAAGAATGTTAGTTAAAGAAAAATAAAGTAAAAAAAAAACTTTATTCTTTTTTAATAGGTTCATGAAGAATTTATAAATAATATGGCTAATACTACAATTGAAAGTTTGATACAAAAATTTGCTGAGTCAAAGGGCACAGGGAAAGAAAGACCTGGTAAGATGAAACAAGTACTTTTCTTATTAATGTTATTTTTTTAAATTGTGACTTTATATCACATATCCTGAACAACATTTTTAAACTGTAAAATGGAGTGAAGCATAAAAAATGAGTTATGTTTGTTTGTTTATTGTATATTTATGAGTGTTTTGCCTACATGTCTGTATGTGTACTAGTCTCATGCCTGGAGCTGGAAGAGGCTAGAAGAGGGTGTCAAATTCTCTGAAATTGGAGTTGTGAATGACTCAGCCACCATGTGAGAGCTGGGAATTGAAGGAGGGTCCTCTGTAAGAGCAGCAAGTGTTCTAAAACCACTTAGCCATTTCTCCAACCTCTAGATTTAGGCTTTTGTTACAGCCTGTAGTAGTTAATAATTTAGTTACTTAAAATGGTCATTTAACTTTTACAAAATGAAACTATTTGTGGCTTGTTTGCATTTCTGAAAGGAGATTTAGCTATCGATACAGAAGACCTGTTTAATGAAGGACGATGAGGAAATACTGACCCTTCAGCACTGAGACTAATATAGGAGCTTTCTTAAAATTTAATGGCTTTCTTTTTTCATGCACATACATTTCTAGGGAATGTTTTTTATTGAGTGCCAACTGTGCAAAGCATTAAGAATACACAAAGTGAATGAATGTAGGAGTCTTGCTTTCTAGAACTCAGCATGTAGACCATGCTAACCTTAAACTTACAGAGCTCCTCCTACCTTTGCCTCTTGAGTGCTGGGATTAAAGGCAGTGTGCTACAAGCCTGGCCTCCACATTCTACTTCTTTCAAAAGGTGTATTTTATGTTTTAATTTTTATTTTTTTCTGTTTTTTTAAATGGGTTCTCTGTAATATTACTGTAACTGTCATGGAACTCTATGTAGACCAGGTTGATCTTGAACTCACAGTGATCCACTACCTCTGCCTCTCAAGTGCTGGACTAAAGGTGTGTGCAGCTATGCCTGGTCTCATATTCTACTTTCATTTTTTTTTTTAATTATAAACTGGTTGGCCTATTAGCTCAGGCTTCTTATTAATTAATTCCTCTTTTTTTTTTTTTTTTGATTTTTCGAGACAGGATTTCTCCGCAGTTTTTGGTTCCTGTCCTGGAACTAGCTCTTGTAGACCAGGCTGGCCTCAAACTCGCAGAGATTCGCCTGCCTCTGCCTCCCAAGTTTTTAAACTAATTCTTATATCTTACAGTTGCCCATAATTCTTGTCTGTGTTAGCCACATGTCTTGGAACCTTTTATGAGCGGGACAGTCACATTTTTTTCCCTCTGTGTCTGGATGATGACTGCAAGCTAACCTTTCCTCTTCCCAGAATCCCATATTCTACTTTTAATGAGCATCTTATGACACTGGATGTAATAAGTAGCCATTGTCAATTTTTATTTAGTATACTTCATATCTTCCTTCCAGCTTCTTGACTTTGTTTCTTACTATAATGTATAAGAAATATTTTATTCCACAGGTAAAAATAATTCAGCCAACTTAATTAAACTGTGGTATGGAACTTAGAAAACTAGATAAGCAATCAAAGAAAAGTTTAAGAGTCAGTTTTCTTCAGTATGTCACAAAAGCAAGACTTGAAACCTGGGCCATCTAAAGTTTCTTTTCTTCCCAAATCTTGTATTTCTCCCTCAAACCTTTCTGGTTTGTTTTTATTTATTTATTTATTTATTTATTCCTATCTGGCTGATTAATTGCAGTTTTTTTGCACTGGTATAGTAGATATTTCTTACTAGGTCCCTTTAAAACATTATAGCCACATATGTGTTTGACTATGCAATTAAGAACTTAAAATTATGGTACTTATAAATCTTTGAATTTTTATTATAGACAGAATATAAGTTAAAGTCTGTACTTGAGGGGCTGGAGAGATGACTCAGTGGTTAAGAGCACTGGCTGCTCTTTCAGAGGACCCAAGTTCAATTCTCATCACCCACATGACAGCTCACAACTATCTGTAACTCTCATATCCGACACCCTCATATAGCATATATACAGTCAAAACACCAGTGCCCATTAAGTAAATAAACAGCTAAATAAATAAATCTTTTTTTTTTTTAATCTGTACTTGAATTTGAAGCCCTTGAAGATGTGTGATTCAGTACCCTCACTTTGGCCAGCTTGATCTGCTTGCGAGTTCCTGCACAGGCCTTTCTTTGTCTTTGACACTTTAGTTGTATTATATCTCTACTCTAGAGAATAGTGCATTCCACATCTTTCCATTTATTTAAGAAGTAAATGCCCTCTTAAAGAGCCAGGTCACATATTAACTCCTTTCATCAAAAATGTCCCTGAACTTCATACTTCTCCTTTGTGTACTTGTGGAAACATATCATTTTCTGTTCATCTTTTATTTCTGTGTTTATAAATAGTGTACTGAAGTTTTATTATTTACTTACAAATAGTTTATAAATAAAATGATGAATAATATTGTACTGAAGTGGATGAATTTACTTTTAGAAAAATCTTCATTATGTGCACACAAATCATTATACTTAATACTTAGTGAACACTAGATTCTGTGTCCTGAACTGTTAGTCACTTTGCAGATACACTTTGGTTTCTGAGGTAGGTACTATATTTCAGTTTTATAATTGAAGTGAGAAGCTAAAGATAAGGGCCTGGAGAGATGGCTCAGAGGCTAAGAGCACTGATTGTTCTTCCAGAGATCCTGAGTTCAATTCCCAGCAACCACATGGCGGCTCACAATCATCTGTAAAGAAATCTGGTGCCCTCTTCTGGCCTGCAGGCACAGATACAGAACAGAACACTAAACAAAATAAATAAATAAATCTTTGAAAAAAAAAAAAGCTAAAGATAACCCTAAGTTAGTATATGGTAAAGCTGGGATATAATTCCATGATATCCCCCCCCACACATACACATATACCCAGACAGTTTTCTGTTTTGTTTAGTTTTGTTCTGTCTGTCTGTCTGTCTGTCTGTCTGTCTGTCTGTCTGCCTGCCTGCCTGCCTGCCTGCCTGCCTGCCTGCCTGCCTGCCTGCCTGCCTGCCTGCCTGCCTGCCTGCCTGCCTGCCTGCCTGCCTATCTATCTATCTATCTATCTATCTATCTATCTATCTATCTATCTATCTATCTTCCTGTATAATAGTCATGACTGTCCTGAACTCACTTTGTATACCAACCTTGCTGGCCTCAAACTCACAGAGATCCACCTGCCTCAGCCTCCCTCATGGTGGGATTAAAGGTGTGTGCTACTGCCCAGCTTCAGTTCCAGGATTCTTGATCTCAAGGTCTATTGGAGAAAATGGGGACAGACCAAGTTAAAGATAGAATGAAGATGATGCGATGTCTAAGTAAAGAAGAGATTTTATCTTTATTCTGGTCATGTCAAGCTAGAGTTTTCCAAATGTTATCATTTTTAGAAATTGGGCAAGGTGTTCCAGAGACCTTTCTGTGTTTTTTTTTTCTGTGTTACTTTTTATAACATGTATATCTACAATCATCTAAAAATACTCTGAGGGGGCTGGAGAGATGGCTCAGTGGTTAAGAGCATTGCCTGCCCTCCCAAAGGTTCTGAGTTCAATTCCCAGCAACCACATGGTGGCTTCCAACCATCTGTAGAGGGGTCTGGCACCCTCTTCTGGCCTTCAGGCATACACACAGACAGAATATTGTATACATAATAAATAAATAAATATTTAAAAAAAATACTCTGAAAAATTAATTGAAGCCAGTATATACTTGAATTGAAGTCTGAACCTTAACTTATTAAGCAATACTTTCTTTTAAGTCACAGGTGATCAGAGTATTATGTAAAAAACAAAAGAATCCAAAGAATGAGCTTCAAGTGTCTTGTCCTTCAAATATAAAATCAGAGAATAATTGGAACATTAAAATGTTATGCTGATCTGTCTCAGCCTCTGGAGTGGAGCCTCCACCATTCTTAGCTTCGATTGGCATTTTTAATAGCTTTTTTTGTGTGTGAGGGGGGGTTGAGACAGTGTCTCACTGTATATAGACAGTCTACTGGTGATAATGTGCTGGCCCCGATGTAATTTTTTTTTTCACTTTTCTTGGGCTTCTTGGCTGCTTGTTTGTATATGTGTCAATGTCATTTCCAAAGACTCAGTCAACAGCTGACATGTGTGTGGCATGTGTATCATGGAAGGTACTGCCGCTAGACCATAGTAGTTTTCTTCCAAGGGGGATCTCAGAACCCTTGTCATTACAGGCTCCATGTAGTTACTGCCAGTATCTAGGTCTGGCTCTCATGTTGATACTGTCATCTCTGACTTAGTTGAATAGAGTCTTTGTTTCCACATGTTGAGAAGCCAGTTTAAACAAGTTTAAATTTAAAAGTCCATGACTTTTTTTTAACCTGGAAGGACAGGAATGAATTTAAGGAAGCGGATATCATCAAGATTTGTTTTACTCTCCCCTAACTCCTTTCTTATTTCTGCTGTCTCTGCTTGGCTTCACTTTCTTACACTCCAACTGTAGGTGCTCTCTGCATTGCTGTGTCTTCAACAGGCAATGACTGTCAGTTGAGAATCCAAGTAGGAAAAATCAAACTTGTTTACCTAGTGTTAGTATAGTAATTTTAGGGAAGGTGTTTTTATGGCATGTCCGTTTCAGTTCTGCATTGTAGTATCAATCTACTAACTACATTAGACTATCAAATAGAAACTTTTAAAACTAGAATGCATTGTATATATGTTTGATTTATAGGACATGATCTTATTTAATCAGAAACATTAATTCAGAAGGATTTATTTTATAATTAGGTAAACTAGAGGAAAATGTTACATGATTTGATTTGTATTACACTCATAGAATTTTATTACTGAGAACTTGAAATAATCTAGTACAATGCATTTATTTAACATAAATATGTTGAAACTTATGAAAACATGCCTTTGTTTTCATTTCATATAGATACCCTAGTTTGTTTTCTGTTGCTATGATAAAACACTTGACAAAAAACTTGAGGAGGAAAGAGTTTATTTCAGGGTACAATTTATAGTTCATC